GAAACACGGACCTCTGGAATACCGGCCCAGAGTGCAGAACCACTACACCACGAAGGCACGCTAGGAAAGCGGGAGAAATACCTTATATACTTAAACCCTGTACTTGTCTACAGCTGTGTGTTCTAACTACTGTGTAAACTGAACGGTTTGTTATCCATTTTCACGTATACACATGAAAAATTTACTTCGTTTTATCCTGCAACCAATACATTGAGCCCTATAAAAAAAATCTTTCGAAACGTGAACGTTTTCTTCTCTGTCTTTTTTTTTTCCGTCGGTTTGTCATGTAAAACAAGTATCCATCGAATTAACCGATAGCTGTTCAGCATTTTCTCAGCAGGGTGTACAGCGATTACATTTTACGAACATGCCTGCGTATATACTCACTCTTATAGACACAGAGTAAATATAGCGCTCGAGTGAATTACAAGAACTGAGTAAAATACTATACACGCAGTGCTCTCTCTCTCTGAAAAGTTTTACGCATAACAAGTGCTGTCAGAATCATCACAAGCGCAGGAAAGTCGCCAGATTTTCTTGGCTCCTTTCAACGGGTTCTTACGATGAGAACATAAAAGTTGTTACTTTAAATTTCGGTGCCTGGAAATATTCTTGTCTTAAAAATAATTCCATTCCAAAATGTCGAAAGCTCAAAAGTAAAAATAAGGGCTTTGTCCTGTATTGTCTTTATTGTTTTGGCCCATTGTCAAAAAAGTGACTAAAATTATTTAACATTGGCAACTTCATTATTGATTTGATTCTCAAAAGTAAGAACAAGTTGAGAAAAGTTGCATCTTCGTCGTTCCCCATATAAAAATTACGTTAAATTTTCCATAAGAAAATCTCTGTGAAAGGAACTCATATTAAACAAGAGAGCTTTAGAATTCCGTGCTCAAATCATATCTATTAGTCCTTTTTGTTTCTTATTTAGAATATTAATCAAAGATTCAAACTTACTCTAATTCATTTTAAAAATCGATTTTGGAGATTTGCTTTTATTCTGCTTTGAGTTTGTACTCAGCTATTTTGAGCTTAATATGCAGTTTGTTCGCTTCTCTTAACTATATTAGTACTGCAGTGCATTTAAACCCAATATGCAGTACCCGGCTTATAATGAACCTTCTGCTATCGTCCAATTTCGTATATACTTAATATTATTTTATACTTCTATAGCTAACCTCCAAAGATATGAAAATCGGACAAAATGAGATTTATGAATATCTTCCACTGAAACTTAAAAAAAAAAAAAAAAAAAAATCCTAGAGTTTCTGAAAGTTCCATTGGAAAAATAACTAACTAGCCCTTAAAATCATCTCTGTCTAATTTTATAAGGATAGAGGTAAACATTTTTATGTTGCTGTTCTTTTATCCTCAGCCCGACAGACCAATTCTTGGAGAACGAGTTAGCAGAATAAGTATATCTTATGGCACAATATGGTGTATGTGACTATTAAACAAAAACAATTTGAATGGGTTTACTGATTAAAATTGCTTTTCTAGAATTGAAACCGTTCTATAATATCTAAAAAGCTATAAAGCTAAAAAATATTTCTATTTCTAGAATTTATCACTAACTCGCTAAATGCTAGGAGAGAATTTTACATGAATTCACATATGGCTCACAGGTTGGAGAAACAGAAGTCCAACATTATTCATTGGGGATTCAAGGTTAAAAATGAAGAAAGGGATCGTCATGCAGCTGATAACTGAATAAAAGACTTTTTACCTGAGATGCTAAATGAATATAAACTACTTGAAGTTTATAATATAAACGGAAAGTGACTGTGTTCTGACAGTGTTTTCACTGGCAGAACATACATTCACACTAAAAGTGAAACAGCGGTTGATTTAAGAAACTGAAGGAGTAAGTTATGGTTTTATTAACGTGCAGTATCAACTCAATTAAGAAGGTAACACTGGTCATTGTCAAAAGTAGGAAACATCCATGTTTGAAACCATAACAAAAACAACTCTTGGATGACGAAACAGTATTTTTGCAGATTTTCTTTTAAAATGGAAGAGCGAACTGAAAAATGAAAAATTAGCTTTATTAATACGATAACTATGCAGCACGCTCGCTGAAAAGCCTTTCGTGTCTCTTCCTGCGAATACAATTTCTTTCTCTTCAAGCCTTAATTTTAGGGTGTTACGAAAGTTTTCATACGTTATTATGCAAAAGATATTCAGTAAATGATCAAGATAATTTTACTTTGTGAAATTACAAGCACTTCGTAAGAGATAAGTAAGTAGATATCTCTGCCAGGGATTACGTACATTATAGCCAGTGTAGAAGGTTTAATCTCTTTTAATCAGTTGAAAAATGTTTTCGAAAATATGGCTTTTACGTACAGGAAGCATCAGAAGAACTGTAAACTATAGCTTGTAAGGTTTATTCTAAGTTTTTAACAGAATTTTTAGTTAAAGCCACTTTCCTATCTTTCTTAATTTCAGCTTACAATTTCCTGCCAGAACGTGTTTTCAGAATCGCGGTTAAATGCAAATGAAGGAAGAGCAAGTATTTAAAATTGGAGTTCTACTGACTTCGTTAGAGAGCCAGAGATTTTGACCAGCGCTCGTTCGCCGTTTAGGCTACACTCTCTTTAAGCTATTTCTGCGGTCAGCCGTATTTCAGGCTTCGCCGTTTAGTTAGCGTTAAGGGGTCAACTCCTGTAGAATTTTGATACCTGCGGCTATTACTTTTTGATTTAGTTAAGTTTTATTTCTTAGTATTCTTAAGTTCAAGCCAAAGTAGAGGTTTTTTCTGTACGTCCTGAGAAAGGACCGTCCATTAACTTTATTTTGAGCAATAAAGGATAATTAACCCTTCTTGAGTATCTGTTCTCTGTCTACTGAACTAAAGCGATTATTCGCTTACCAGTTCTCAAGGTTCCACGCATTTAGCTGTAAATTCTAGGTTGGAACATTACAAGCTAATGTTTCAGATAAGTGAAGGAAGTTATGAGGACTGTATTTTTAGAATTTGCGTCAATTCATGACTGTATTGAAAAAACTACGTTAAAAATATCTGAAGAAAATGAGAACGAAAGTGATACAGAAAACAGATGACATGGCCATCATTAATCGAAAAACAACTCAGATTCTAGGGAAAATACTTGAACAGGTGCCTATCAAAAAAAAAAAAAAAAAAAAAAAAAAAAAAAACAATAAATATATATATCAGCAGATTACGAAATGAGAATGCAATTAAAAAAACTTTTGTTGAACAACGTGAAACAAAAGTATACAAAATATTTGCTTTGTAAGAGATAAAATTTATCAAAAACGTAATTAAAGAATATTTTTTTTATAAAAAAGTTTAAAATGAATTCAAATTTAAAAATGAATGTCTAATTTTAGCATTAACTTTTAATTATTATTTTATAAATTAATTAATTGTTAGTTATTATTGCCCTTGAAAATTTCAAAGCTGTTATCACAATTTGCAGTGCACCAATCGCAGTTTATTAAACTCAGCTACTTAATAAACTCAAATATTCTTGAAACGGAAATGATTTTAAAATGCGGTGGGTACTGTATTTTAAAATCAGGTGTCAAGGAATGGGGAGGGGGAAATGTGTTTGGGTTGATATTCGCAGCTATTTTCACAGCCGATGAAGATGTGCTGTTCTACAAGATGATGCCAACACAAAAGTTAAAATTGAAAGCCCAAAGGTGCACTGGCGGAAAATTGTCAGAAGTGCGAAACATAGTGTCATAATGAATAACAATGAGATTTGTAGGATGTTGGTGACTGAAAAGTATCAAAATCCAAAGGCATAAAAAAGGTGAAAATACTCTCTGCTTCTTATAAAACTAATTGTAAACTATGAATAAAATCAGAGCTATTCGAAGAAGATTTCTGAAATTGTGACGAAGAATTTTCGTCCGAAAGCGAAAGATTCTACTCTTGATTAATAACTCTACTGCACACACAATTGCCGAAACTTAAAGAATGGATTATAAGTTTGTAAGGTATATTTTAATTTTATAATAGTTATTTTAAATTTATACCTCTTTCCTACCTTCCTAGCTTCAACTTACAACTCCCTAGCAGAATGAGTTTTTAGAATCCCGTTAAATGCAAATGAAAAGTAGAATGGTATTTAAGTCAAGTTCCACTGACTTCGCCAGAGAGAATTTAGGTCTCCTGCATGGCGCGTGTTTGCCTTTGGACTGCATATCTCTGTTATTACGCTCGGCCGTATTACGTGCCTTTTGATAGCTTAGCTGGCCACTTTAATATTACGGGCCAGTTAGTTTAGAATTGTGTTAGCTTCGGCGAAATCTCTTTGGTTAGTCATTAGTTAGTTCTTTTTTTTTACATTCTGAGTTTAAGCCCAAGTGGAGGCTTTGCGGTATTCCCAGAAAAAGGGGCCGAATGTTAATCTTATTTTAAGTGAAATAAAGGGTAATTAACCCTTATTGAGCTTACGTTTCTTAAGGGATTATTCGCTTAGCAGTTCACTAGGTTCCTCGACACTTAATTTAACAATATAAAAGTGAGGAAACTCTATAAGTTTTTTATTGTACCCAAATGCAACTTCGATCTTGCAACCTGTGGATGAAGTATTGATCAGGAGCTTGAAGTATCATTACACAAAAAGCACTTTGGAGAAGTTGTAGAATATTTTATATTATTTAACGAATTATTACGATTTAAGCCTTTAAACTTTTAAGCCTTAAATGCTACTGTTTAAATCCCAAGGCAGGTCATCTACTAAGCTTAAAAAGCTGTTGTCGAGAAGAAATCGACCTTTCTACTGTACTTTCTAGCTTTAGTTATTAAACAAAAGAAGTAGACAAAATTAGTTGAATTTTAAATCTGTGCTTGAACGTAAGTTGAATACAACCAGGGCGGTAACTAGCCAACAGTTATGTAACTCTGAGTGAAGAGCCTTTATAGGTGAAGGTACTTTTAAGAATAGTTAAGTAGACCATTATAGGTGAAGATACTTTTAAGAGTAATTAAGTAGCAATTACAACATTAATCAAACATAGAATTCTAAATTTTTTTAAACATTTATTCCTTCATAGCAGTTACGATCTTTACAGTTGCTTGTCGTAAGATACATCAACGAATACTTCAAAAACATTTATATGCATATTAAAGAAACAATAATTTTAAAGCTCAAAACTGAAATATGGAAATAAAACTATAGCTTTGTAATGCAAATGAAGCATGCAGTTCTTAACGGCAACAAAGCAAGTTTCCATAATAAGCATAAATCTAGTTTTATCCGAAAAGGAATTACAGCACTCATAAATGATAGTTTCAATAAAAATTGGTAATTATTTGCTTTAAATAAATGAGATCAATTCAAATGGAAACGAGTAATATAAAATACCAAAAGCACTTGAGGTCATGATTACTAAACTCAAACAAAATCCAGAGAATTTTCTAACAAATCATAATGTTTCAATAAAGGCAAATTTGATTCAGTACCAATTCAACATAAAACAAACACCGTTGAACTAAATTCCAAAACTCTTTCTCTCTCTGTTACAACTTTGTTGATATTTCTTATATTTTTAGTTGCTAAACTTTTACAGATACCTTTCTAGGATTCAAACACGTACTTTTTAATTCAGTTTTCTCATACGTGTTAATTTCATCAAATATGCAATGTCCTTCTCTTATCAATGTCCTTCTCTTCTTAAATATACAATGTCCTTCTCTTATTATATATCTTCTTTTATTAAGAGAAGGTAAAATTTTGAGTTAATGCTCGGGCCAAATAACTGCAGTTTTTTTAATCTACGATTCAAACTACTTTCTCTTGATCATATTTCATAAATATTTTTAATCTTTTTATAAAATAGACTATTAACTTCCCGAAATTTAGATTATTTAGTCACAAAATACTAATAATGTTTTTATTCTCCTTGATCTTCATTTCACTGTAAACTCTTCATTGATAAAACTGATTTTATCCTTTTTCTTATCTTTTAGAATGTCTGGCATTATTTGTCATGAAAACTAAGTTTTTTTTAGTGTGTATATGTGACGATTTTTAATGCTTTTCACGTATTTATAGTGATATTGAGTCGAATACTGAAGTCGAATTTTGTCGCCGTCTTCTTTTGCTGAATGAGCAATCGCATCGAAGTCGATAAATGCAAATACTTTTTACTGACTGTAAGATGGTGGAGGCTGGGGTATGCCTGTGGGGTAACATGGATTAGAGAATCCCACTTCAGACTGTGTGTGTTTAGAATTTTGAGGATAAAGTGAATGCGGTCCTGCCGGATTCTGGCAAATGAAAAAACCTGCCGGATGTACAGCTTGATAAGGCGTGAGTCTTGTTGTAGGTTCATCTTGATCTGAAATCGAAGAAGAATCATCATTCACCTTCCTCTTGCGAGCAAAAACAACCACAGATATAGTGATAATGGCGAAAATCATAACTGTAAAAACAGCAGCATATATAATATCTGTCATTTTGAAGGAGTAAAAGAAATCCGTACCTGAAAAGGAAAATTAAATGTGAAAATAAAAATGAACACGTTAGGAGAATTTATTCTGTTTACAATAATTACTAATGCAATCGAAATTGAATTCTATACACAATGCAAGAGCTAGGTAAAATAAAATGCATGTTATTATGAAAAGTTCTGAATTATAATGCGAAGTCTAATATGTAAATGATGGCCAGAGTTTCAGTTACATGTAATGCGCTTGCTACGGAAGGAGGGGAAATCTAGCATTCCCATCTCTCAAGAATACCGTTAAAAGAAGTGGCAGAAAAGGATTCCTCTTCAAATATGTAAGTTATCAAAAATTTTAAAAATCAATTTTGAGGAATAAGTATATTGTAAAATATATATATATATTATATTATAGCAATATTGTGAAGTATTTAATATGTAATATAAATATATAATATAAAAATGAATTTTAGATAATAAGTATATTGTGTAATATATATATAAATACAGAGCAATACTGTAAAATATATTCAGATATACATGAAACAGCCAGTAAACGTTTTCAGATTTTCTCCTGACAGATGAAAACTAAGTACTGTTAAAATAAGTGCTATATTGAAATATGTTAATTTCTTTTATTTTCACAGTGCTCTGAAACGATTTCAGAGAAAAGATGAAATTTGCAACAATGTGATTTAACATCACGATCTCCCCGCAAACATTTCTGAAATAGCTGGAGAAAAGTTAGGTAGGTCTACCATTTGAATGTAATTCTGTGCTTAAGATTATCCTAAAAATGGAGTGGAAATTTGATAGAGATGATTTTTAAAAAAAGCAAAAATAAATTACTTATTTTGTGAATTTTCTTAAATCCCGATTTTATCTTAAAATATTTTCAACATTGGTATAGCCAAGATGAATAACTAAAAGGGATGCCAAATTAGCTAGCCTTAGTTAGAAATTCATTAAGAAAAGAAATTATGTTTGTTAACTTTGAACTAATGGGACAGAAAGCATAATTTCAAAATATCATGTTTAAAGTAATAACATTTTGTGAGCTCCACCTATAATTATGTAAAAGCATTACATTTTAAATATTGCTTTCATTTTAGATGCTATATGGCATATTGTCTTATTTCCATTAATTATTTTGAGTAACTATTGCCTCGGTGAAAATGCCACTTCTCAGACTGTGTTTGACACAACATAGTGTCGAAACAGTAAGCAGTAACATTACTTAAAAATGAATTAATTGATTTAATTTACTGCTTTTCTACAATCAGCTCTATTTAATACACATTGTTTTTTGGCATGCTACCATTAATTGAAAGGAAAATTAAGAGAATAAAGAAGGATGTCTGAAAATATAAGAAACCATTGTAGAAACATTAGGATTATTTTTGAAGAAGGAAAGATGAAAAAAGAGCAACGCCTCCGCCGGGAATCGAACCGCGGACCTCTGGAATACGCGCCCAGCGTGCAGACCACCACACCACGAAGGCATGTTAGGAAGGTGGGAGAAATACCTTATATCGTATTATTAGTTTCTTGCTTCATATTTTGTGTAAAGTTTGCCTTGCTCCATTTTTCTTTATAAATTTTGTCATCGAACGAGATGTATAGTTCGAGATTTTCTCCTGTTATGTCCATATTTAATTTCCCTCGTAGATGAGTAATTGGATTCATCATAAGATACTTCCCAGAATAGCTAAAATTATTGATAGATAGATTAAGCGAATCGGAACATCGTTTACTTTTCTGTTTTGCTGATTGCAAAGAGATATGGTAAGACATGATTTCTTTCTTTCTTTTTTTTTTTCTAAGACCTCGAATTATTTAGTATCAAAGAAATAAAAAAAGATATAAAATTCTGAATTTGGTTGCAAAATAATTGAGAAAAACCATTCAAATTCTAAGTCTGTGGTCTCAAACTCAAACTGCATGCGAGCCGAATGCGCGATCTGAAAGCAGTTGACGGCCAGGAATTTGTTTAATGAAGTGAAAGTAAATGCGTATGTGGAGAGTACTGAAGAAGGTTTAAAATAGCCCTTTCATTCTAGTCAAAAATGTAACATAAAAGGCATAACTTGTGCTACAGACGAATACTAACGACTCTAATGACTGCAGAAACCCTCATTTTCGTAAACGCCATTAATACCCCAAAACAAACAAAAATAAATCTGATAAAGGCAAATACATGTTGTAGTAAATAAACATCGTTTTGAAAAAATAACTATAGTGAAAATAAATTAATAAATGAAAGATTTTTATTAACATTTTTATTATAATAGAAACTAAGTTAAGACAAATAGATAATACTCGGTAATAGCTATAGGTCTAGGAAATAATTGTAATTAAATTAATTATATTAATTGTTTGTTGTAATTATAATAAATTAATTGAGTTAAAAATTAATTATAATTAATTGTTGTAGTATTTAATATAAGGAAGAAAGATCATCATCACATATTTTACATAACTTTCTAGTTTTCATTATTGCTCAATATGCATATTTAATCATAATACAAATTATATAAGCTGAAATTTATGTGGGATGAAACTAAGATTCTTGAAACAAACCAGATTTCATTTTTATGCTGTATGTTATCTGCACGAAAATTAATCCTGCAGGATAAAGACAAGGTAAATCAAGCCTTGCAATTATAAAAACGTATAATGTACACAAAGTTGTGTGCTTAATAGAGGGATTAATCTGGATTCAAATCCGAGCAAATGGGAGTTGCCTACATGGCTTTTTTCATGGTTTTCTCTATGTTTTACGCAGTGGCGTAGCTAGGGTGGGGCAAGGGGGAACATCTGTCCCCGGGCGCAGCATTCAGGGGGCGCCAAATTGATGTTACGAAATTTTAGAATGAAATTTTTCAGTTCTTGGCACAGAGAAAGGGGCGCAAAATCTTAAGTTGTCCCCGGGCGCTGAAAACCCTAGCTACGCCTTTGGTTTTACGTAAATATGAACCAGTTTCATTTAGGAAAAACCTCCTCAAATAGATTCTTTTCCTCGGGCAAATGAATTAATAAACAAATATAACAGAAGACACTTTACTGAAAATTAGAGAAACTATGATTGGAAAACTGGACAATTTAACTTTAAAAATGAAAATATGAACAGAATCTGAAGCGGAACGAAGAAGGAAGGCTAATAAACCAGACTATCAGAATCAGATGATGAAAGAATTTTTCAAATAATTTCTTTTTCGTAATAGAAATGAAGAAAGTAGATGTTTTAGTCTCAGAACTACGAACTGAAATAAAGTTTAGAGAAATTAAACTACATGTCTTCCTATTTCGATTTTATAATTCATAAAAATATAATATCATTAGATTTACTTTAAAAGCAGCAGATTAGCATTTAAATATCCAAATGATATAAATTCCTCAGAAAACCGCTATTTAAATGATTCTGAACGCTAAGCAGAATTAGATCTTTTAAAGATAACTCATAAATACGGTTTAATTAGACCGTATCCAAATTCGGAAATTACGCTGAGAATGATAATAACGTTACCATTTACTATTACCGGAATGGAAGAAGTTTTAGCAAATTTAAAATAATAAGGAAATTATGCAAAATCTTCTCTTGGTTAAGAAAAGCTTTCAAACATGACAATTCTCTCCTTAGAACATAAATTAAGTAATCATAGGTTTTTGAAAAAAAAAAAAAAAAATGAAAATTTCACTTCGTTGAAAGCAAAAATATTAAATTAAATTAAAAAACTTAGCAAGTAATCCAATACTTCCTACCTGAATTATATTATTGTTAGTATTGCTTCAATGTTACTTGCTATTTATTAGGAAAGTATAACGCTTTTTTTTTTAATTTGGAAACTATTGACTGTATTATTTTTTCTGAATATATAAAGATATATTAAAGGCGATTACAATAGTTACGATATTATGATGTAAAATAAGTTATCTTTGTTGAATATAAAAGTATACAGATAAAGTTAATTTGGTTATGTATAGGCTCAATTGGAAATAGGGTCAATTTGAATGCCCAGTAGGCATCAGACCACATGGTTGCATATAGGTTAGAGCGTTAACCTCTTTGCCTCGGGTAAAAATATATGTAGGCATGCCTCGCAATACAGACAAAAAATAGAATATTTTACTCCACTTTTTCACTTCATTTTATCCATCCTTTATTTCTGTTGCTATAACTCCTTCATTTGTTCTTTTTAATAAAGCCACCTTCTTAATTTAATTCTAGAAATACATTTTCATTCAGAAGAAAGCAAACGCTTACAAGTAAACAAGTAAAATATATTCTTACTTCTATAGGTGAAAACACAATTCTTTCCTGCATTGTCGAGTATGTGAGGCGAGAAACATTTAATACTGAGGAAAAGAAAAGAATTGGCATATTTGTATATTCTTCAAGTTTCTACTGTAATTTGGAAACTCGTAGTTAAGTCCTGCAGACTTTACTAGTCTGCTAGCGAGATATCGCTTAATCTTAAGCAAATCACAAATACAGAAGAAAATTTAGCTAATCTTTTTATTTAGTCTTAAACTGAATATAAAGCGCACAGCTATAAAGAAGCTTGTCCTATAATGAACTTTCACTCCCTTGCGGGTATTTAAATGAACACAGCAGAAAGCTAAATTTTAAATGTAGATAATGTAGTCTAAGACTACACATGAAATTGACTTATTAAACTAATTCAGAATTTTACCGGTGAGTATTTTAGAACATCGGCTAGCAAAACGCTAAAGCCGGAAGGCAAATTTAAGCAGAGTTGGAGAGAGTAATTCAAAACCTTCAACTCAAATACATACAAAAATCTAATTTGCTTTCTGGTGAGGAGTACCAAAAGATGAAGTTATTGTAAAGGCTTAAATCATAATCATTGGTTACTTAAAATAAAATAACTTACAACGCTTATATGGCAAATAGATACTGACTGAAAATTAAACACATTAAATATATAAAACTGCTTAATTATTACAAAATGTATTTAAAAGTTAATTTTCCATTAGTTATATGCCTTGAAAAAGCTTGCCTAACAAACCATGAAAAGCAGCCAAGTATTGTTGACAGCACGAAGGAAAAAGTTGTCCAATATCGTTTTGAAGCTTCCTACTATAGTCAATAATTGTACAATTTCGCTTTTTGATCTGTAAATATAGGCTATTTGAAGAGATAATTGAAGAATTATAATCTTATGAGTGTTACAAAGATTTTATACACGCATTTCAAACGATGAAATATGTACATTTCAAGCAGGTAGCTACATGCAATGCGACATAAATACTGTTACAAATTTTGTACATATGTAAACAATTTTAGTGAAATTATATGTGAAATTGTAGTATCTTTTCTATAATGTAATATAATGCTTAGAAAAGCAAAGCTGTGCCAGAAAAATAATGTTACAGGGGCAAGTCTGCTTAACTTAGAGCGCCAAGCTGGCGATGGTTTTGGTGACTAATTTTTGCAGCCAAATTTGGTGAGAAATCGCCAAAAGCCGTCAAACTTAGCGACATTTGAGTCCGGTTTCTGTAACTATAATTGTTACTGTATAACTATAACTGTGACTGAATAACGTAATTGATCCTTATATGTAACTGTAACAGTATCCGGCCCTTATATGTAACTATGCCTTCCAGTAATTTCGAGAAATAGAAGGTACTAGAAATTTCTCAGTTGCCAAGAGAAAACTATATAATACCGGAGAAAGTATCTGCTCTCAGTTTTTGGGTCACAGTTGAATTCTTGTACTGAGAGATTTCCGTGGAAGCTTCGCTCTTTCGGTGCGCTTTGCATTGCATCGTGTTTAACATTATTAATAGTTTGAAGTGGTAACAACTGATTGTGCTCTGCCCTACTGAGAAGAGCTGTGCGAATACTTTTGTGGAAAGCTCTGGAAGCGTAAAGTGTTCCTTTTGAGAAAATAAATGTTATCAAGCTATCATTGGTTTTGGGGGCATTCTATCCATTGCGAATCCGTACGCACGTAATAGTACGTTTAAATGCTAAGGCTATTAAAATCAAATTTAATAATGCAATTCAGGTTGAGTTATAAATGCTTTATACGGGCGGAACATAATGAAAATGAATATATATTATTCTTATAGGTATTCAAAAGAATAAAAATAAATAGTAAAGTTAAATTAGATTTAAATAATTCTCTTGCGCCATTGCCGAAAGAAATTTTTTAGGATTAAAAAATTTTTGGAATTATATATTTATTGATGGATTTTGATACTTGCACTTGATTTACATATGCTCTCAGAATTTAAATGATATTGTAGATTAGTTCGTAGCAATAATTAATCATTTATTTGTTTGCATTAAATTCCATTATTTAAAATTTAAATAACTTTAAATTTGATTTTTTACGAATAGAGAATGTTTGTTAAATTCAAATTATTCTTATAGGTATAACATTTTTGACACGTATACAAGCAGCAAAAAGATATTTGCATTACTTAAAGGCAACAACAGCAACAAGTAGCTCTAACCCAGATGGCCAATTTAAGATGGTATTCTGGCGTCTTTCTGTGGGAAAGGGGATTAATGGGAAACAAATTTTAAATAAACTATTTAAGCATTTTTGTCTCAGAGCATCTCTGATTAAATTACGGATTCCCTTCTTAGCTTATGTCCTACAAGTGAAACAGTGGTTAAGACCGCTGAATATTTGTAGCTCGATCTTGTTTGGATTCGATCGCAGAAAAACAGGCTGGCTGCAGATTTTTGCGGTTTTTCTCTAAATGTAACGTGAATATGAGCCAGTTTACCTCAAAAAATCCTGCATTCTCTTCTTAGGCAAATAGCATTGTTAGCTTTACTATATTCAAATAACCTAACCTAAATTGTCTTTGCTTTGTTTGTTTCTTCTCCACTATATAGTGAAGTTCACTGCACAAACACATTAGGTATTTTATTTGGGAGTAGCAAACGGGAAAAATGTGCAACGACCTCGCAAGAATACCAGTTGTGGACCTCCCGACTGCTAGTAGGACGGGCTTCCAGTTACGCCCTGAAAGCACAAGGTGAAGAGGGAGAAAATACTTACATCCTCGTCCTTTTAAAGAACGACTGCAGAGAAAGGAACCCAGTCGCTAAATGTTGATGGTTATAAGGCATTTCTCCCGCCTTCTTAGCATGCTTTCGTGGTGTAATGGTCAGCACGCTCGGCGGGTATTCGAAAGGTCCGTGGTTCGAGTTTCCGGCGAGGGCATTGCATTTTTTCGTCTCTCCTGCTTTAAAAAAATACCTCATTTTTCATGTCTCCTGCTTCGAAATAACCTAATGTCTCTTCAGTGGCGCTCGAACTAAAAAAGGTGGTGAATTGATGATTCTCCACCACCAGGATGTGGCGAATTCGTCCCCTAATCCGCAGTCACCCTTTAAAAGGGAGAATATATAAGGTATTTTTCCCGCCTTCTTATCATGCCTTCGTGGTGTAGCGGTCAGCAAACTCGGCGCGTATTCGGGAGGTCCAAGTCTCGGCATGAGCATTGCTCATTTTTCATGTCTCCTGCTTTGAAATAACCTAATGTCTCTACATGGTGAGTTCAGTTCGGGCACCACTGAGGATTTAGAAATTCTGGATAGGAAATATAAGAAAATTAACAGTTGCCTTCCCCTGGGTTCGAAATCCAGATCTATTTGTCCTCCCGATTGCTAGCCGGAGTTGCTTTCAACTACATTACTCTATAAGGAGAGAGAAAATCTTTTACAGCTATAAACTTCAACCTTGTTCATAGTAAACCTCACTTTATTCGCACATTTCCTTCACTGTATCTGAAGTTCATTATAGTAATTCCACTAAGTAAGCCATATTAAGACATGAATGCAGACTGGGACCAAATTCTTAGGCTCGCTATAGCCGAATCAATATTCATTATAACCGATTTCACTATATCCAGAGTTGAATATATCTTTCATTAAGATGTAGTAATGACTCAGGCATCAAGCCCAGTACAAGGTAGGTTTCAGGCATCAAGCCCAGTATCGTAATAAGCCCAGTACAAGGTAGGTTTCAGGCATCAAGCCTAGTATCGTAATAAGCCCAGTACACAAGGTAGGTTTCAGGCATCAAGCCTAGTATCGTAATAAGCCCAGTACAAGGTAGGTTTCAGGCATCAAGCCCAGCATCGTAATGAAGCAGATATAAAGAGGCTTAAGTGACGGATCCTAGGATAGACAGGGCCCTGAAATGAAGTGACAAGAAGAGTTTCAATATATATGTATTTCCTTTTCAAATACACAGGAACACTATTTCATTTATTAAATTTATATGAATGATTTTATATAACTTCCAAAGAGAAAAAAGGTATTAGTATACAATGTTATATAGCATTGTTATCACTATTCTGCACTTCACACAAAACTAAAGCTATGTGCTGAATATAGTATGAAATGCTAGTTATGGTAATGGCCAAGTGGAGTTCTTTTAAATAATCCTGCTATAAATAATATGGATTGCCGTGTTTTTAGTATTATGTTTATCTAAATTATTTTAAACTAACTAATTTTAAAATATATATTGAAAAGGAATGCAGTCTCATAGCAAGTGCAATAAAATACTTACTGCAAAGTAACGGTGATTCATCGCTTCCGTCTCCGCAGTTATTTCTACCATCACAGGTCATTTCATTAGAAATACATCTTCCATTATTACACATGAACTTTGATTCATCTTTACAGTCTTGTACATCTACATGAAAAACAAAAGCATTTTATGCTATTCCAAAACTACTCTCAAATGACACTTTTATAAACAGTTAACACTAGTGTCACATAGGCTATCACATATGTTGAAGTAATATATCATACTTACTTAATATTTTTAGAGATGGCCAAGCTTCATGACCGCAGAAACCGCATGTTAGAATTCAGGAGAGTTCAATAGCCAAAAGTCAGTATTTGCCTCGTTTTGAAAGTACTTCAATAAGTTTCGAATGAAAAGAAACGTTTGAAGTAAATTAATGAAAATATCTCATTTTTAATGCAGAAACTCAAGCATTATCTTCAGGTTTTCTCCCTCTCCCCCTCTTGTTTATAGCTGTTTACTGGCTTTAGCTACGTAAACTAAAATTTAAAAAAAAAAAAAAAGGCATAATGGCCTTTAGGCGTAGAATAATGTAAAAAGCTTTGTATTTCAATGGAGAATAAAACAATAATTCCAATAATGGATCCAGTGATTTTTCTTTATTTTAAACTCACATGCACTCCCTTGGACAGAATTAAATATTTGATATTAAACGGGAAAATTATTTTAAAATGAGCTGTGAACCTTTTCAAACTTTACAAAAAAACAGCAATTTACTTTTCCACACAACCTAACACGAGAACCTAGTGTACTGAGATCAAATCTGTCCGTAAATAATTAAATTAATTCATTAAATGAGAGCTCGATTATCAGTTACGGTTTTTTTTCGAAGACTATGACATTCAAATTCTTAGATCCACTGAATTTTCAGAAAGACTTGAATTTCCCAAACTCGAATTTTTTTTCATCATTCGAATCTTAGGAGATTTTAAGCGGTTTAGCTAAAAACTTTGGAGAGATTAGTTTCATTGAAGCCAATTGAAGCATTGAATTACAAACAGAATAAGATTATTGCAAATTTCAATAGTATCTGAATCCTTAGTATCATATTATGGTGATCTGGAATGCCGTTGTGTTTTTGAATGGTATCCAGCGATATTTGATGGAATTTAGAGGTAATCAGCGCGCTACGCGTTCTCAAAACTTCTGAAAATAGTTTCGATAATTCTAGACATAGATATAATAATAAATCCTAGATGTTTCTAGAATTACATGCCATTTTATATAAAAGCTGCATCGTGCACATGATTCCAATCTTCTACTAGTTGAAGACCTTTTTTACACTTGGGCACTTAAAATATTGTTTACCCGAAAATTCTCTATAGAACTTGCTGGAAGGGAAAGAGGAGTGAGAGACCTTCAAATCCCTCAAAACTGGGATTAAGTTGGGCAGCTTCGTTATGTAACCTATACCATGTCCAAGGCTTAAGCCAAACGTTAGGTGCAACCCTTGCATTCTTGGCCATAATAAGTTTGCAGATTTAATCTGACGAAACTGCCAGACAAGTGATATAAGTCCCAACCCACTAACTGAACTTTTCAGACATGGCTGTTAAATTTTAAACTGCTGACTGAAACTGAGCTGTTACTTAGCTATGTTTGTCAAATTATGCAGAGAAAATGAGCCTCAAGTTTCATGAGTTTAATTATATATTTCATTTGTAGCTTTTCAATAGGTATGTGGTATGTAAATTAGAATTTTTTGAAGACAGGAAACGTGAAAACATTTGCTATGTTCTCGCCAAGATTCGAACTGCATACCTTCCGCATGCTAGCCGGAAGTGCTTTCAGTTACATCGCAAAGACACGCAATAAGGAGGGAACAAATACTTCACAGTTTATAGGTGCATTTTTTTAAAAACTGTATTCTTGAATTTAGCTTTTATTAAATAAAAATTCAAATTTTGCTTTATTTTGTAACACTTGCTGAATGATTAGAACAGTTTTAATTTAAATGAAATGTTTTCGCAAGCTTTCGTTAACTACATTAGAAAGAAATATTGAGATTACAAAAGGTAGAGATTGTCGGTTAACGATTAGAAAATTAACAAGTAAAAGTTTATTGCATTATTAATATCAAAATTACGTATTATTTCTTTTCTATTTACAGAGCTTCTTTTTGAAATACTTTCTCAAATACAAGATGATTTTCAGCTTTTGAGACATCTTTTAAATAAAACATTATAGTCACTCTATAATTAATGCTTTGTCCGGTTCATTTCAAATTAGAGCACTTTTATTTTAATAGTGAAATACTTTAAATATTGCTGCTGATTTTTAATTTCCATGTACTTAACTTTGTATGAGAATTTCTGAAAGGGAAAAAAAGGGGTTGTTAATATTATTTAAAACTTGCAAGTGAGTTATTTTAAAATTTAAAGAAACAATGTTTTTAATATTTATTCAATTTTTGCTACCCTTCATTTCAATATTACTTATTCTAAAAATTCTGCTTTACTTACTTAAGTATGCATCTATACTGTGCTTTACAAAACTTTTAATAGATTGTTTTCTAATACGAGCAATTTTTGCTTAAATAGTTTTATGAATATATTTGTCAATAGAATTTCAATTTTTGTTTATAATTAAATGTTAAGGTCATTATATATTTAGACAATTTTTATAATCGTTATAAATTTAGATAATTTTAATAACTAGATTTCTTCACAGTAACATTCACAGAAGTTAATGAATGAATGAATTCTTCATTTCCAAATACATTTATGAATAATTTAATAAATATTTACGAATATCGTTAAAGGCAAATGCATGTTTTTTTGCAAGGATATGTATAAATGAAGAATGGGATTATAGTACCACTGGTCGTCGTACTTATTACATTTTCTTACGTACACAAGAGATGCGTGGAATCCCCATCTGACACGTTATATTTCAGGGCATGCCCTTTCCCTCTTTATTTGAGAGATTAAAATAAGCGATTCCAGTTTTTGCACCTGCGGAGAGTTAGGCTCTCCGGAGCATTGCCTTGAAAAAGCCCTCTACAGAAGGCTTACATATCAGATTCCCTTCGCAAAATCGTCAAGCCTTTGCAAAATTTCTAATCAAGCAGAGGCACTTGATTAATAAAATTAACAAGGTATGGAAAAGGTTAAAGGTCTTGGAATAGACCTGTGCCAGGTGTAGCATTCATAGGCATAATGTATTGATGCAAAGTACATAATCTTTGTGGGAAACTCTGGTTTAGTGCTACATTTATAGAGTTTTAGTGATGTTGTTATAACGGACTGATCTAATGAAATGATCATTGTATTCGGTATCTCATGCACCCCCTATGAAAAACAATATGTTTACTTTGCTTATTAGTTACCACAGTCTTAACGTACCCTTTCAAATAGTCACTCAGTACAAATTCTATCAAATTTTGTGTCTCTGAAATGTAAAAGTAAAATATTTCATAAGAAATTACTGTACCAGTGTAGTGTATTGTAGCAAATATGAGGGTACACCATATTGGTTTTTTTTCTCCAGAATGCTTACGTTTGTATGAATGATACTTATGGCTGAATTTGTGAAGCACATTAAGTATGTACTTTTCAATGATCCTCACGACTTGATCCTGTATTTGTATGATCCTATATTCCACATTCTCTCCTAATGTGTATGTGTATTATTTTGTATGGCATATTCTATGTATATATATATCGCATTATTTATTTACTTATTTTTTGATTTTATTATTTATTTATTTTTTAAGGTTTTATTGTATGAATAATATTTATCATATAATTAATTGATACTTGGTATTTTGCATTTTAACCTTTCGCATTTTAACTGTATACGCACCAGCATTATGTTTTAATAATCCTGTTTGATTATATACTGTATCATGCATATGTAGGATATTGTATTTTTTTTAAATTTTATTTATTTATTTTTTATTTTATTTTTTAAGGTTTTATGCATGAATATAAAATAGATTTAGTCATATAACTTAAATTGATACTAGTATTTTACATCTTAACTTTTGCATTTTAACTGTATACGCACCAGCATTATGCTTTAATAATCCTGTTTGATTATATACTGTATCATGCATATGTAGGAAATTGTATGGTTTATTTATATTGTACGATATCGTAAGTACTGTAATGTATGACCTGTAGTCCCACTAGTCTCTAGATAAGGGTGGACATGGTGCTATTACCAATTAACCATAACGGTAAAGGGATGGTGCCCACGTCCTCCGTCACTAAACTAAACTATATAATTTATTAATTTTAACAAGGACTGCAGGATTTCATTGTTCAGTTAAGAAAACCTAAAGTGATTATTTTCCAGTTGTATAAAAATAAGATAAATTTAAAAAGGAGCAACTGTTATGCCTCTTCCCTAAAAATTAAAAAAAAGTGCATGTTACAGAACTATTTGGATGAAGAAAAATGTATTTTATTTAAAACATTTTGATATTTGGAATATAAAAAAAAAGTAGCAAATGCACTACCAAGGGCATCGAAAGATGCTTACAAATTTTAACGCTTATACCAGCTAGCTATTAGAAAATTCATCTTAAACAAACTTTAGTTTCATATTTTTGGACATTTTAAAGGTACCTTAAGATATTTATCATATTTTACACATAACATAAACATTTTGCTAAAGCAATAATTGTATCGTACAGTAGCTTGGAATTTTAAAAAACAAATTCATAGTCAAAATCGGTGTTGCACATTATCGAAAAATATGTAAGATATGATTTTGTGTAAATCCCACTAAACTATACAAACTGCTATTACCCATCCAACAATTATAAGGCATTTCTTCCGCCTTCTTAGCGTGCCTTCGTGGTGTATGATTTGCACGCTGGGCGCGTATTCCAGAGGTCCGCGGTTCGATTCCCGGCAAAGGCGTTGCTCATTTTTCATCACTTCTCCTGCATCTAAAAAATACCTAATGTCTCTACACAATGAATACTTCTTTTATGATTAAGTGTCACCGCTTTTCGATTTGTGTGAAAATGTCGTGGGTGGAAATACCACCATACCGCTGTCAGCATGCTCTGGATGTAAACAAAACACATCCGCTTTGGAGACCCAAACTCGGCAGCTTGTCGGAGTGGACGTCTCCTTCTATTCTTACCTCCATGAGCTGGCTTTCTCCAGGAATCTATCAGAGATCGGGCTACCAGAGTACAGCGACTTTACCGTTTGGCCACTGGTGGGCCCACTTTTTAAAGGAAAGGGATAGCGCGTTAACAATGGGCAAAACCATGAATGTCGGCCCGATCGCAATGATTTGAACCTAAGTCGAACAAGTGCATTCAGTAGCTTTATCTCTTGAGCCGGCGGGGACCTTTCAGTCTTGAAACTTTTATAATTCTATCCACTCCGCTAATTGGAACACGCCTGTACTCTAAATTATATTTTTAATTAGCTTATTTATTATCGCGTAAAGTGTATACTATTCGTATTACTTCAAAATGGCTTCAAATGGCTATTTTTTTACATAAAATGATTTCCAATTTTTTCTTCTATTCTAAGCTAATTTTTCCAGGATTAAATTTTTGTGAGTTCTATTTAACTTTTTATTTTAAGTTACTATATGTTGACAGCCAAAATATGCTTCTTTTGAGTTTTTTTTATCTAATCATTTCTTTGTCTATATTTTTGTAAGCCAGTCGATCAGTTTGGCTACTTTCCAAATTTTCAAACCAATATTTCGAAAATTTTGAAAGTGGCAAAATAGTCACCGTGTCACCAAATCTCCTATTTCTCATTTTTTTTAACTGCCTATTTTAGATAAATAGATTTATATATTTTTTTTTTCCAAAAATACTGAGAGCTCAAGGTTGGACTTTTCTTGTGAATGGACGCAAACATTGCGCAGAAAAAAACTTCAAAAAGAACTTAAATCTCTTAGGGATATTGAACTTGGGGAAGTTGTGTCAGATCTGCTGTTTAAGCACGAGTGGCAAATTTTTTTCGCCCACCATGAAACTTATAAATGAGAATGGCCCGATTATCATTCCCGGAGATGTTCGTATTCATGGGTTCATTCATGGATGTTTCAACAACCCATGAATGCTTGTAAGCGTATGGAATGTGAACAAAAATGGACCGCGTACTCTCCTGCGAGTAGCCTTCTCGCCGATTTTACGGAACAGGGAAAATGGGCCAAGAAGTTTTGCATCGCCATCGCACCTTGCTCCATGTTTAGCAGAATGAAATGGCTTTGTATGCGGAACTTTGCTCGAGGCAGCTCCGTGTCGTTAGGGCATTTTCTGCGTCCTGGTGGCTACTAGCCCTTTCGGATGGTAACACCTTACGAAAAATTAGCAGTTTGAGTAGCGGGAATTCATTTTGAGATGTCATTGCTTAGAGCAGCTGCACCGAATCCGTTTTTTAACCTGTTTCCTTCTCACCATATATACGCTCTGGCAGTCTAGGATAAGTGCGTCGACTTCAGACCTCGGAACTGTGACTGACGGTAACTAGGACTAAATTAATATCCGTGGTCAGTATTAGGCAGCAGATTTGCTAAATACAGCGCTTTATTGTTAACTTTCCTTATGAATCTCATATTAAATTCATGCATGAAATAGCGTATAATTTTTCTTGACTCATTTTATCTTACCAGCTTTTTCTATATGTGCGCCTATGAAGAGATTACTATTATTAAAAGTTCTGTGTGGACAGGAGAAATACGCATGAGGCTGCTCAGGTTACTTTTATGTAGCCATGCGTAGATCGAGCAAGATGTACGTAGATTTCATAATGCTGTCATTTTCAATAGTGGCGCCAGTAGGAAAAAATACTTTGTAGTAAGGGATTTTCAAACAATTTAATTATTTTAGAAATCATTTACTTCTTATTGTAAACTTTCTCACATAACTTTATTCTGAAAATATCCTAGTTATTATTTTGACTATAAAAATGAAAAAGTAATTCAAGCCTAGTTCAATACACTTTTGAGGTACTTTAGATTGTGAATCGTTATTCCTTCTTTTACTATTGCAGCTTAGATTTGTGCTTAACGGTCATTCTGTATGCCTAAAAGTGTGTTTTTCAATCATAATCCTTAATATCACTAAGAAAATAAGGAATAATATAAGGAAATTAGGTATGTTTATGTTATAGATAATATTGAATAAAAGGAAATTTTAATGTTAATTTCACTACGATGACGATTAATAAGGTCTTTGTTGAAACTGCTGTTAACATTAATTTTAAAATCTCATAAACATTACATTATAAATTACGAGTGTTATACCAAATAAGCATTTAATTAGATATTAACTGCATTTTAGCTTTTCATAGCTTAATTTCATAGCTTAATTTACAAGCTTACATTTACATAACATTTTTTTGCTTTAATGTAAAAATTACATTTACCGCTTTTATCAAATAGAACCACTGACTTTATTGAGGTGGACGAATTTAAACGTGTACATTTTACAGCTCTGAAATGAAAACGACAGATTTATTCTATTGCACTCTATAAATAGAGATTGTTAAATTAATCACATTAAATTGCAATATGCAAATTCGAGACAAATATGAAAAGACAGAAGTAGCAAATCTCCTAACTGGAGACGGCATGCATCCATATCAGACATTCATGCAATTTTGGCAATGAATCTTCATGCAGTTAATGATCTTTTCAGAGGTGTCTGCAGTAATAAAATCCAATTTTGAACAAGAATAGATCTTAAATAATAAAGTGCCTTCAGAAAGAATTACCTAACCTATTGGCTCTTCCTACAGAATTCGACATATACAAAGTAAGGATAAGGTCTAGAAATTTAGATGGCCATTCTATCCACTGATTATTCTCTTCGTCAGAGAAAATAAGTTGAATTCGGTGAGTTACAGCATTGTAGGGATTATTTTAATTTCCTAATGGTTATTTTTAATTTTGAAACTTTTCTTTTACTTTCTTTTTTCCCCAACTACCGTTCCCTGCCGCCAGAATGGTTTGGTTTGGTTTATTTAAATACAGCAAAGCGCACTAGGGCTATCTGCCTATGGGAAGGGAGGTCTTCGTGGAGGACTTTCTAAGGGAAACTGGCTCGTATATACACGTTACACATGGGGAAAACCACTAAAACGCCCATGCAGCCAACCCGTTCGCGGGATTCAAACCTCGGGCGGAACTACCAGTGTTCAGCGAAATTACCGCTCGGCCGCTGGTGGGCCCCTGCCAGAATGAGTTTCCAGTATCACGTTTTATATAAATGAAGTAGAACCAGTATTTATTTAAAGTCTAGGTCACTTCCGTAGGAAAGCTCGGCAGTTCTCAGTACAGCGTGTTTTGCTTTCTGGCCGCTTCGTTGCTTTAAGCCAATCTTACTACTCTCGGCCATATTATCAAGAGTCTGTTAGTATTCGCCGATGAGGTTTAAATAAAGGCCAACTCGGTTATTTCTGTATAGCTTCGGCTAAATTTTAGTTAGCTTAGTTTCTTATTTTCTACTCTACTATGTTAAAGCCCAAGTGGAGGCATTCCTGAAAGCCCGAGAGGAGCCAACTGTGAAATATTCTCTGAGTAAAACAAAAGAGTAGTTTAACCCTTTTTTGAACTTTGTCTTGTAGTTTTTAGAAGTCCAGCGAGTAGTCGCTACACTCTGCTCCAAGGATTTTAGTAGCCAAGGAAAATCATTTCAACTAGAATCCTATAGCCTTGTCAATAAAAATCAGCTAAGTCTGTTCACTAAAAAGAAAAATAAGCTGCCAGAATGTCATCATTTTAGTGTTTTACTTTCACGTTATGTTCCTCGAACATAAGAGTGAGTACATTGAGTGGTATCATACATGCCGTCCTGTATGATACCACTCAATATTAAGGAGCAGTTTTACTTACAGCTGCTGCGTTTTGTTATGACTGATGGGGTGACAGAATGTCTTTGGTTTCGTCAGGTAAAACCTAGTGAAGAATCAGTTTATTCCCACTGTCTTGACAGAGGCCCATTGCTGTTATGTTGAGGATTGCTGCTCACGACATTTGGAAAGGCGAGCATTCCTGTGCCAGAAAATGAGGAAGACTGTCATCACTGGAAATCAATAGTAGAGATCCTGATTGTAATTCTCTATAAGCAGTTTGTTTTAGTAACCTTGTTGCACAGGCAGAGTCACCTCAAGAGAAAGAATTATTTGGCTGTCTGAGCTAGGCACTTAATTGCAGTTCATAGTCTTCATGAGATGTCATTATTTATGGTTGACCTTCGTCTGATCTGGCACTGCTGCCAATTTCTTGGCATTATTTCCGCAAATAACAATCCTCTTTTCGTACTATCTAGACTAAAATACCCTCTTACGTGAAAGAGAAATTTATTCCCGCAAATTTTCTCAACAACCTTCTCAATGAGGTGTCTCACTGCAACAGTTTTAGCTCTGGACAGGGGGGGGGCAAATATATTTTCTTTTAGCTTTTTCTTGCTCGAAGATCAGCTACATCATGCTCCCGATAACTTTAATAAAAATTTGTATACATAGGAATTTAATCTTTTACTTTCATTTCATTTTGTTATTGACAATATTCTATATTATTTATCCTTAATAAAGCAACATTGAGACAAAACTGACTCGAATCCAAGCAGTATGTTTTGAGATACTATGAAATTCATGTTTACTACCTTAATTTTTTCCAGAGTGCACTTACTTAGTTATATATAGTATTATTATGATTATAAACTTTAAAAAAATGAATTCTGGAAAACATGATATAGTATAGTCAATATCACAAATCGCGTTGATATGTTTAGCGATATATTTATTCTTTATTGATAAGATAAAAAATTCAAAATTTTAATGCTTTACCTTCGGAAACAACAGTATAAGTTAAAGCAAATCCTTCCTCAAAATTAAAATCACGATGATCTTCTGGTTCTGTATGGTAAATAATTGTCATGGGACCTTTCGTATAGAAGGAGATTTGTTCTTCTAAATCGAACTTGAAATGGTAGAGTATTGTAGGAGATAATGCAACATCTGAGTGGAATACCTAGAAAAATTAGAAGCAGAGTTAAGGTATCAATAGTAGGCACTTAAGAGCTTTCAACCAGATGACCAAATACTATCGAAATGTCAGAGAATTTTAAAGTAGTTTTTTTATAATAATTTGTTATTTTCTTAACTATCACAATAAATCGCAAACAAATGCTAAGTTTTATGTACAATTTAAAATCTTTAACTTATTTATGTTCCATTAGTGGGCGTATTAAATTTCTGACACGCTGGTTATGGGCTCATCTGATACGGATCGCTCAAATACACAATAATCGAAAAGATCAATTTCCTTCCCCTTTCAATGGAACAGTGAGAAACTACATGTTACCCACACTTTCCTACTTTCCTCAATATATAAGATGCTTGATTCTTGCCTTGGCCGGGGCGTTCTTTAGATCAAGCATCTGGTCAATCTTTCCAGAGAATCTTTGCATGACAATATCTGTCAATTAATTGTTAATTGGACAGGTGACTGGAGGCGTGCGATTTTCAACGATGAATCCCGATTCAGTCTCAGTGCTGATGACCAACGCACACACGTGTGGAGGCGGCCAAGCCAGAGCGGCAAACGGAGATTATGCAAGGTGTGAAAGTGTGGGGAGCGATTTGTTGGGACACATGGATCACCTCTACTGGTACATCAAGGCACTATGAAGGCTCGCAGTTACATGGACGACATTTTAACGCCGGGTGTACTGCCATTTTAAAAAATAGTATAAAAATAGTATAGTAAAAACACGGAAATCATAGATTAATCGCTGGCTAATTGTGGGAGAAGCTTACCGCTGCTTCACACCAGTCTTCTGCTCGTGACTTCACTGACCAGTGTGCCGCTCGTGCTCCAACCTTATTCTTCGAGATGGCGTTGGCTCAGCTCTCATTACAGTTACATTACAGTTACGCACAGCAGTGGGTTCAAACCAACACGCTCGCATTACAGATTTATGACTGACAGATATCGCCTGTATTTGGGAACAAAGAACTGCTTAATCTCACAATCGCCGAAATATTAATGAAGAATCCAGTGTATCCGTGCACACAATCCACTACACGCTTTTAGATACAAGTTCCAGTAGTCGCAAATTCGTTTAGATACTCGGTTATATACTCCCGCCACCGAGAGGGTATAGTGGTTAGGGAGCCTACTGCAGTAACAAAGGGCCCGGGTTCGAATCCTTGAGAAGGCATGGATGTTTGCAAATGTATAGTGTCTTTGCGGCATGGGGATTCTCTAAATATATTTCGAGTCGAAATTTATCTCGTGTGGTTTGGTAGTAGGGGAGAAGGATAGGAGACCCTCGGACCAAACCCCCGCGGTGCTGTCCCTGAAAATTGGAGTGAGAGTGGAAGTCTAACCTCCTTGAGGCTCTAGCAACCATTCTTCCATGAATTACATGGAAACAACAACAACAACAGCCTATACTCAAACGCGTTCATTTTCGCAAATGTTTGCAGTGGGCACGTAATAATCAATAAGGGCAAGGCTATCCATGATTTAAATATAAGATGAGAAATTGGATATGTGAATTTGCCAAAATGCCTCAAATAAGTAATGTCCTCTCTCTCATGAGAATGCTTTATAGGGTGTTCGCTTTATGTGTAATGATTTGAGCAGTAGTTTGTTGATTAGTATTTGAAACCATTATCATTATAAGACTAACTATGATATTTCGTAGCTACTTGCATATCGTAACTGTGAAGGACAGCTGTTTATAATGAATGTTTACCTGCAGGGAGTGAGACTTTTTATCAAGAGAGTGTTTTCTATCACAATGAGAAGAAGATTAAGAATTCATTATTGGACCATGTGGAGGACATTTCTTTATTACAGTGTCCCTAAATTCATCTGGCACTTGTCTTATCGAACATTTGTGGTTTTGAGTTCCCAAACTGTTATGAGAAGTTACATCCAAATCACGAAATTCACGGGAACTGAGCGATTTTTCTATGCGGTTATAATATCAAATATTAACATGATCATTCCTTGTCAAATAAGAGTTCTTACGCCTGTAAAAGAAGCGACATTAAGTAAATTCATTTTAACGTTTTGTCTGGTAGTTTGTATATAAAAGTAACCAAAAAGTAAGTGTTGTAAAAAAAGTAAGTGTTGATGTATATAAAAGTAACCAACTTTTGAAAAAAAAACTTTTCCTTATCATGTGAAACAATCAGCATTCTGTTAAGGTGTTTGCTTTACGTGGACGTTTATTTATCGATATATGAAAATCTATCCAATTTGTAGTAGGGAAACCAAGGAGATGGGACACAAGGGGAGTTCTATGAGGGGTTATGTGTATGCGTGAAACATCATTTACAATTGCTTTCCAGCATTCTACTGCTATTAACGGTAAACAAATAAATAAAAAATCTGAAAGCTTTCAGATTTTATATTACGCCGAATGAGAGCGGTTTTTTTTTTTTTTCCATTTACATATAAATACACGTTTCGAGAGCATTTGGGACTTTGGGAGAGCTCTTTGGACTAAAAATATTTAAATCTTTGGACTAAAAATATTTAAAAACAGTATATCTGTAGAATTTCCGAGAGACAGACTCGCAAGCTGGAAATAAAAATATTTTATTCCGTACAGTGTGTTTACACTGCTCGCTTGGAAATCGTTTACTTTCTTAACAAAAAATTCGTTAAAGTTTAAAAATATGGCATAGATAATAAAACAAATTCTAAAATCAAGATTCGAGCTTCCAGATGCTCATATTCGAGTGGAGGATTACGTTATTCAGAATATAATTTCTCTAGGTGCATTTGATGGATAATCCAGTGACGTGATACCTCTACTGGTGATTTCTCTAGGTATCGTTGTTTTTTTCACAATGGGAGAAACATACATACATTCATGCAGATTCTTCATTATTTAATGTCTTTAAATATAATACATGGCGATAATATTTGGTGGCAACAATTTTGAAACAACTAACAATTTGAAAAGTGGCACTGTTGTTTACAGTGATTCGACACAAAATGCCATTTCGAGAATCATAGCCTTTCTAGGCTAACGCCCCTTTTGTCTAAAAACTCTTTCCTTCTTTTAAAGTATGGTCTCGATACTTTTTGAGGAAAACGCGAGAAGTACATATTAATTTTTAAGACAAAAGACTTTTTGATTTTAAATATATTTATTTACACTAGGTAAGCTAATTAATTCCATTATTATATCAGGCTTGACTGATAAAATAACTGGATGCAATCTTCTTACTTAAAAGAATATTATACCGTTCATATCGGAGACTTGTCTTCTTTCTCAGTTTTAAAGAATAGTACGTCAGGGAAATATTTTCAATTTTGTTTGGTTTTTTATAAATGCTTTTGATTTAGACTATTCGTCAGCTAAATTAAAAAATTTATCCAAATATTTAACAATACTGTTTGCGGAATCAAGAATTCTTGCAAAATTAAAATTTTTGCTTCTGTGTTCTTATCTTCAAAATAAAAAAAAATTCGATTTTTCACATGAAAAACGATTTCACATTGGCAAGTTTCAAAACATTTTCAGCACTGCACAAAGAAATGGAATCTGAATAAAGTATGCTTACTTTTATATAATCTTCACATATGTATTCCTTACTGGGTCTAAAGTCTATTTTTCGAACGCTGAGAACAATACCCTTCCCAGCTGGGGCCTTAATAACGATAGTACAATGTTTACTGGGCTTATATGGAGGATGAGCTGTTGCTTTTAATGTTCCGGCAGGATTCAGTTTTGAAGTATCGACTATAACAGTTTCACTTCCCCTTTTGCAATGATCTTCCACTATAACTGAAAAATAATAAATAAGAAATATATTTTAATGTTGAAAAATAAAGTTGAGTTGTCAAACAAAACGAAAGTTTTTAAAATTGCCATATTCACCATGTTATGCCCCATTGAAATTCGAATGTTATTTAAAGTTTTTATCCTGTGTGGCTGTTGTTTCTGTTCACCGATAGTTTTGGACGCTTGTCTACGATCACTGGATCTTATCAGTTATAGCGCGTACAGTATTGACTCAAGGGAAAAAACAAACAAACAAACAAACAAACAAACAAACAAAAAAAAAAAAAAAAAAAAAAAAAAAACGGTATCGTCTACCACCTTTAACTTTACGGAGAAAACCATTCTGTGGCCCTCGGTTCATACAAAGAACGTTTCTATGTGACAATACATATTCTTTGGTTCATACGTGGTCGAGTACATTTGATTTCATTGAGAGGGGACAAATCTTCAATCAGCTTCAGACCCAGTCATAGTACAAACTAGGCCTACGTGTACATCACGCAGGCCCTCGTAATGCAGACAAGTGACGTAGTTTTAAAGTTCTAGGAATATTTATTCCACCACGTTTTCCTATTGTTTCGCTGTGTGGCGTAGCTAGAGATTATTTTCCCGCTCGGAGCAGTCCCTGAATTTACCGCCCTTCTTAATATACAAACAAATAACTAAAAAAGTGACATAGAGGGAAAGAAACTTAAGTTTATTTTTGAAGAAAAATTTTAATTCTAATATTTTAAAATTATAAGCTTTTTTTTTTTTTTTTTTTTTTTTTTTTTTTTTGTTCTCGAAACCCTCCATGACATCGTAGAGGTCTACTTGATTGCTCCAGTGGTTATAATATAGGCATAAAGAAGGATTGCTTAGATGCATAAATATTTAATAGCTTTTCAGTACTTCTTGCATGCAAAATGAGCATTTTTTTTTTTTGTTCTAAAATAGCTTTTAAATGATTTTTATTTAGAAAATTCATCTCATAACCAGCAGCGCTTATAGTAATTATGACAGAAAGTTTGTAATAGTATTGCAATATTTGGAACTTTTTCTGAAGATTGTAATTTAAAATAAACTGCAAAAATTTAAAAGGACCGTATTTTCATGGTGCATGAGAAATTGCTGTGGTAGCAGTAGGCTGACTGACAGGCAGACCAAATTAATTTGCTGTGCTAATGAATGTCTTTCGAAAAAGAGATAGTGTTTTAAGTTAACTGTAGTTTGCGAAAATTCCGAATTATGAAGCTGCTTTTTATAAAAAAAGTTATTTAATAATACTTGAAAAACTTTTTTAGTATTATAATTTTTATTTTACAAAAATTTCAATTATGTATATTTTACACCAACAGCGATGTATCGTTATTTGTAATCCCTTTATAAAAAGGATATTATTTACCACGCTGTATTTGAAATTTATAAGATATCCACAAATAATTTCAATCGAATTAAGGTATTCCATTAATTAATCGGATATCTAAATGATAAAAGCGATCTGAGTGATCTATGAAAACATTATAGATATTAAGTTTTGTGATACTGAATAAAATTTACTGATTTTGAAAAACGATAAGAATAAATTAAATTTTGGTGCACTAGAACATACACTAACCTGCAAGAAAATTTTAAAACATTGTTCCAAAGAAACTTTCAAATCCCGCGAATGGGCTGGCTGCATGGGTGTTTCCGTGGTTTTGCTCATGTGTAACGTGTATACGATCCAGTTTTCCTTAGAAAGTCCTCCACGAAGGCATTCCTCCCCTTAGGCAGATAGCCCTCGAAGCTTTACCATAATCACACACACTTTCGCCACCGAATGCTTTTGTGTTGTAGATGGAAGCATGTTCGGTTAGCAGTCAGGAGTTCCAAGTCTCAAGGAGTCAGGAGTCAAGTTAGAAGTTCGGGCAGGCGTTCAAGTCTCGGCCGTATTTCCTGCTTCAATAACAATTTAGTTGCCCACAAACGTACTGCTTTATATTGGCTTTAATTTTATGAATCTAGAAGTCTCAGTTGAAGTTACTGATAGTCCACATTTCGTACTAAGTTTTACTACCTCCTGTATTATTTATCTCATATAATGTTGAAGACTATGATGATACGCTTGTGATTTGATCTAAGTATTGACTATAAATGTCTTAATTACAAAATTAAAAAGAAATCTGATCGTCGTTGATCAGCATGGATACACTGATATATGTATATTTAAAACAAATGCTGATTTCAACATTTTTAACTGGAAAATAAGATAAACTTATCTGTAGAAACTTAGGAAACTTAAGGCGTCTGAATTTCGTGACAGGTAGCTTAAACGTAATAAGCTGAACTTAATTTCAAATAAACTAAGCACCTTACCTGTTTAATCTTCTTGAATGTAGTCGAATTATTGCCCTGTCTTTAACTTAGATTCCAGCAATTGTAAGTAAATAAAGTCATTCAAGTTTATTTGTACTATGAGCTGACAGTTTATAAACTGAATTACATTAATGAAACTTAAAATTTCAAATTTCGCTTCTTGAAGCCGAGCATAAACAGCTCTTCAAACATTTCCAAACCAAGTAGTAGACCAGAAATTAAGAATGAGTGCTAACGTAATACTTAACCATATCAGAACTCACCAAACCCAGTTAGCCTATTCAGTTCAGCGGGTAAAGTATGAGATTTGCAGCATGAGACTGACTTTTTACTCAGATTTACAAATGAAGTTCCCAACACTCACTCTAAACTGATATTCTAATTTGTTACTTAGCCTCGCTTAATTTCTACTTCTAATGGAGCTGATGGAAAAAGTGCAGGAAAATTTCACATTGCCATTTATTTTTATTTATATACAGAGTCATAACATTTATAGATGTTGCGTAAAAGCAACTGATTTAAGTTTTTTTTTGTTGTTTGAGAGATAAAACGACATTTTAGTTTTGAAAACAAAGTTGGAATAATTGAAATAGTTCTATTATTAAATTGGTGTATCATTTAATTTATTTGCTTCTTTAGCTTAGCTTTTTAGTATCTGCGTTGTTTCTTTTAGTTCTATTTTGAAAGAAATGGAAATTACTGTAAATACAAGACCTTTTTTAATTTTTTACTGCTTTGAAATGGTCTTAATATCTAATTTCTTAAGTACATTTTTCTTTTTTATTTAGGACTCGAATTATAAGAGACAATTTTTATTCATTTATTTTGTTGCAATTTGTTCTTTTTTTTTTTTCTAATTTGTATTTTCCTTTTCACTTGTACTCAGTTTTATTGCATATACACACGTATCAGCAACGATACATGGAGAATTTCATTATTAAATATCATACTTTCATTTCGAAGGATTACTGCTTCGCAAAGCAACTACGTTACATTGTAAATGATTATAAATTAAGTAAAGCACGTGAACGTCAGCTTATCTGTGTGAAAAGAATTTTCTAGTGCAGCAGAAATTTGTTACAATAGTTTCTTATCTGGAAAGCTGAGCAGGGACGATAAACACGGAAAGTGAAAGTATCGAAAACTGAAGTAACAACGGGATAAAAATTTCTTGACAATGGGAAAGAATTGATCCTTTTATTTACTTTTGGCGATATGACTGTGCAACTAAATGTTAAAAGCTGAGCAGAATTTGTAAGTCTAGTTTTAAGAAAAAACTGATTTTGGAGTGAGGTAAATGAAAACAATATTTTTGGAAGAGTTTTAGAGACATTCTGAAGCCTTTATATCTTCTCATTTTGCTATAAAGGAGTGTTTCAAATATTTATGGGCATAATGTATTCATTGCACTTTTCAGTTTGTTCAAATCGTCATAAGAAACCGTTAATTTATTTGAATGTAGAAAGAAGAATAAAAGGGAAATTTTGTTGCATCAGTTATACAAATTAAAAAAAATATTAAAGTGTGATTTTCGTTTCAAGTGCACATCATTAAGAAAATATATAGAGCATTTTGACTACTGAGGAGAATTATAACCTTTTGCAGCCCAACATTCCTCGCTTCTTTTCAGTCTGTCAAAGGGTTCCCGAAGAAGTGTAATTCGCAGGAAGACTGATACTGGCTGGAAGTTTATCGGGATGCATTATCTAAATATGCATGAAATATGGAAGCTTCCAGTGCAAACGTGGATGCTTCTATTTGCACAAACGTGTGCCTTTTATATATCCAAAGAGCTTATTCACTGTTTCATACGCAGGATCTCTTCACATTAGACGAAACAGTCTAGCAGCTGAGTTCTGTGAGGAGGTACGTTTTCGCCTATGACACAGCTCTGAAAAGTCTAATATTAGGTTTTATCATTTCGCTTTGCATATTTGAGCCCTAAACCTCTGTCTAATATACGGAGTGTGTCCATTCAGCAATATGCCTCCCCAAACTATATCTCCACCATAGTCAAAATACTTTATTTGCGTATTTCTGTTGGGCTTTGTAAGGTTTATTTATGTTAATTAACCAGTAATTTTATGTTTTGAATCTTTATTGTTACCTCTCTCCAGACCCGCGCCGACAATAGGTGCGAGGTCGTGCGGCGCCCGACGGCGCCGAATGAAAAGGCGCCGGGCAATCATTAAAACAAACGGTTCGTCTCGCTGCCTGTCTGAACAGAAAAATTCTTTTCTTATTTGAACGCCCCTCCGGGTTCGACTCAGGTAAAACCTGGGAAGCTACTGATTAGGATCTATACCTAGGCAGTCTCGGCCACGGGTGTTTAAAATTAATCTCCGCAGGACTGGAGTCATCGCTAGCGATGGCCATATGGTGTTCTCGTCCGTTCCGTGGTTGTGGTTGAGCTATATAGTCAGATGTTCATGGTTGTCCAGGGCGAAACACCCCCGTCGGTGGAGTTGGTGAATTCAGCGAGCCTTTAAACTGCTTGAGGTTTCCGGTGGACACCTGAAGCTTCAAGACTACATATTCATAGCCTTCCTTGGTTTTCCCCCTGGGGGGCGCATAAAGCCGACATCTGTATACCATGACGTAGTGTTAGCAGGGCCGGATTGGTGGCCTGGTATGCCTGACAGTGTTTAAGTGACTTCATTTTGCTG